ATTACGAATCAACTTAACGGCCTGCTCCCAGTTGGCTTGTTAGCTCAATTGGTAGAGCGCTGCACTAGTATCGCAGAGGTCATTGGTTCGAGTCCCGTACAGGCCTGATTTTTTTCAGGTCTGATTTTCGCTATTGCTTAAATAGCGCTATCTACTGCGAGGATCGTGCATCATACGTATTGCAATCATTATTACGATCTTTCCAAAGAATATGACCAATCATTTTCCATCTACGAGACATCACTTCCGCACTCTGTGGCTTCATGCCTGCCCATTCCAGTAGCTCTTTTGTGCTGATATGGTCTTGCCATTGGATTTGGAGGATCCTTCGTAGGCACCTATTATGGAATACATTCACTGCTTTAACATCTCCTTTGTTCCTCTTCCATGTCTCAGATCCATAGAGTAACACTGGCACTACTAGAGTTTATATAGCCTCAGTTTTGTTTTCCTCAAGATGTTGAGAGACTTGAGGGTGGAAATATAAGTCTTATTTTCCAAATTATGTCCAAATCTGATTATTCAGCCTCAGTGTCTTGGCTAAATTTCAAACGCAATCTCATGTCGTTGCTTGTGATACCAGTACTTGTGACACAAATCTCATTTCCCTGGTGAAAAAGAAGACAAATCCCATGTTTCCTTTACCCCTACTTACCCATTGTATGACTCACTCGTCTTTGGCCCCTTCTCCTGCAAGGGAGAAGGTGTGCTGTACGAAACAAATTACCTGACGTCAAAGAATAATTTTCTCTTTTTTAGGGGGTTGGGGGGTGGGGTGGGGTGTAGGGGGAATCTTTGACCATGAAATGTAAGCCGATCTTCATCTTTGCCACGTGGTCAGCTTAACAGTAGCGCAAAGGCAAAGGAATCCGTTCACTTTTCCGGCCACGTACTCATTTATTTTAGAGGGTCGGTGAGTGAATAACATAGACTTCGGAAACCCATTCTAGATTGCGCACAGAAAATAACAACAGTCAAACATTGACTGCAATTCTTGACGTTTTTACCCTACAACAAATTTCGTGTTTCATTCACAGGAAAGGCGTTTTCTTTTGAACCTGAAGGAGAAAGTGGGTAACTTGCCTATTTTCTACCTTTGCAACAAGGTGGATAAGGACAGGACGGCTCTGGAGTTTGACAGGGACTCCGACACAGAAGATGATATTGATAAACACCCACATAGTGAAGAAGCAAAGGAGCTGCTCGCTTATCGAGCTCTCTCTCAATGCTACATGGTGCCTGATGACATAATGTATACAGAATGTCCTTTCTTTCACGGTTTGTCCACCAAGGAGGTCAGGAACGCTCGACTGAAAAAGCAGTCAAACCAGTATACTAAGCAGTTTGATGACCTCAGGTTTAAGCTGCTGAACTTTGTTGCCACTGGAGTGTACAGCCATCTTCGATCTGCAGCAGAATTCCTTTGTCAGATCCAAAAAAGAGTGTTTGATTTCTTCTTGAATTGGGACTTCAACCAAGACTCAATTCCTGCTCAAGATGAGTTATTTAGTAAGCTAGAGGTGAAAGAGCGAGAGTATGTGGCAAAAATGCAAAAATATGTCTATGGCAATCTCTATAAGTTTTCCAAGCTTGTCGAAGATTCTGTCAAGTGCAACAGAGCTAAGATCGTAGCTGACGCGTCCGAAATGCAGTTCGATTCAATCAAAATTGGAGATGTTGTCGGGCGAAATGAAGTGGTAGAACAGTGTCGCAGACAGATTAAGGACCTGGTATTGTTCAAGGCTACGAACATATCGCTGAACAGAATTCAACTTACTGTCTCCCTCATTACAGAATCTCTGCGTTCATCTCTCGAAGAATCGCTCAGTGAGGTGGGAAAAAAAGACGACCACTTAGCCATCCTTGTAAAAAGGCAACTGGAGTACAGTTTCCTACAACATTTTCAGACGCGAGACATTTGCCCTCATTTTGATTATGCTTTGATGAAAAGTGGTGTGAGGCTTATGGACAACGCCAAGAAAGCTTTCATTGATGTATGGTCTGCCATACGAGGGAAGGGGACGTACCTTAACGCAGAGTGGAAGCATAGTATCGCCGAAAATGTGCTGGACAACATCGACTGTAATGCCATCGCACGCAGAATTTGTGAGAGAATAATAGAGGATCTGGAAAATGGGCACAAATTGTTCCAAGTAAACCTGGCTTACATGAGACAATTTTGCCAGGCAGCTGTAGAACTGTCTGATGCTCAGATAAGTTTCGCCGCAACACAATCCCCATATTTTTCCAGACTGATGAGTGAGGCCGGTGCTCTTGCTCAGACGCTGGCTTCCGATGTTCATTCGAGAGCAGCTGTTGGTCGGCAAATGGGAAGGTCGGGTAACCGAGGCAGGGTTTTCGAAGACAAAACCGACGAGAAACGAGTTGTGAAACAGCTCACAAGTGCAGCTCACCACAGTGAAATGCGAGATAAACATTTGTTAGGCATTACAAGAACCTTAAGAAGGTCAGATTATCTGATAGTTTTTGGTAATAATTTCGGCCCATGTCATCAGAAATGTTATTTCTAAAAAGTATTCTCAAAAACAAATTTGATTCTGACGCCTCTTCACCCTAAAATCGAGCTTTAATGTTCCTGCTTCGGCCACACCCAATGAAGTTGACCGCGTAAGGGAAGATTGGTGATGAGTGACGTCACTCCAGGAGCGTCTCGAGCGTCGTGTTGTTACTTTGCTTGACAAACGCAGTACTTTTACAACACATCTATCGGGCATATTTATGTCGCCGAAAGCTCTTTACTTTACTGAAAAAAAAAACAGTGAAATGAACCACTGGCGGGATTTGGCACGTTCCTGACTCGACGTCACGACCCATTCTGGAACCCAATTTCTTTTTTTCCCCGACTCACGGTCACCTTCAATGGGCGTGGCCAAAGCGGGAAGTTTAAACCTCGATTTCAGGGCGAAGACTTGTCAGAATCCAATTTTTATTTAAGAATACTTTTTTACATGTTAAATACATACCAAAACTATAAAAACCCTGTTGGCCGTATAGACACTTTAAGAGTTGAACGTGACTGGTCGAGTTTTGAATTTTCCAACGGATTGCTTTTTTTTAGTAAAGTGAAGCTCACTCATCAAACTATATCTTTGATTTTAATGCCCGCAGGACTCAAGATGGTATTTCCACAATCCTACAACCTGTTTCGTTGATTTTGGACGGAAGTAACACGGTCTCTGTTCTGTTTCCAAAAATGGCCACAGACTTGTTCGAAATGCTGCAGAGTGATAAAATCGTATTGAATCATGGTCTAAGAATTACACAGCGAATGGCTGATGCTCTGGAGAATTGCTGGGACAGACGCATTTACCATGTGGATTTGAGGACCACAAACATTTTGGTAACTACGCTTATTACTGAATTACGTCACGATATTAAATCCCTGATGTTGACTTCTCTGTTTCACTTAGGAGAATATAATGGCCGATGAGTTGAATTGTCTCGGGAGTTTGTTCACCAGACCATGTTTAATGCATATCGCTCGGCCATGTTTAGAAAAAATTCAAACAAATCATATGACTGATTTTTGTAAAATTGAAAGGAGTTACAGATCTTTGGGCTAAATAGCCTGGCTTATCATTGCAGCAGCAAAGGTCAGTGCCACCCTCTCGATCAGTAGTGTATACCGCAATCAGGGGACCATTTTTTTAATTCGCTCCTCACTTCACTTATATGTTGATAATGTAAATGAAAAAGTCTCAAGCAAAGGAAAAGAAATGGAAAAGGCTCTACTTGAGGCCATGTTGATTATGGTTTTCTTTTTCTTTTTTTTCCCCTTTTTTTCTTGAAACAAAAAAAAAAGCTTGACTCCCAGGGGAATGCAAAGCTAAACGTCTCTAAGCCAAGGGATGACACAATTCCGTATCCTGACAACCAAGCACCTTTCCATGTTCCTGCTCAGAATCCCGGTGTAAGCGCATCTGACACTGATTCGATGATGACTCTGAAGAATCATTGTGTCTACAGTCTTGCAGTCTTACTTATGTTGCTTGTGGAGGAGAAGTACTGCAGACCACCCTACGCCCAGACGGAGAAGGTTCATGAGGTGTATGCTGCTGTAGACCAAGGAGAAGATTTTAAATACGTCTCCGGATTGAAGAACCCAGAGGGTTTGTCTTCGGGCGGAAGGAAAAAGGCTCGTGAGATTGTCCTTTCCATGTTTGACTTTCATCAGAAGCATAATGAGTATCTGCTCTCAAAAATGGATGACTTCAAATCCGAGGTTACTGGGGTGGTTTCTAGTTATGAGACCGCGTGCCAGTTTGAAACTAAATTCTGAGAAAAGAAGCTTTTCATCTCTGTCAAAAAGTTGAGCAATTTTTTTCATGGACAAAAATTAGAATATACGGCTGCCTTCGAAGGGGACCTTAGAGTTTCAATTCCATTTCCACCCACAAAGCAACTTAAATCAGCCAAATCTAATCAGAAAAGTTATTATTTTGTATAAGTGACAAGCAATTGGTTTCAAGTCATGAATAGACATGCATTAGAATCATGATTAGCTTTCTTTAGTTACATTTTGAGCGAAGTGATGATTTGTGAAGGTGTAGTCTGATCGTCCGGGTGAGTGTAGTCCTGAGAAGGACTGTTGTCGGTGGTAGTGACTGACGTTTCGACAACCTGTGCGGAAGTCATCATCAGAGTCAAGTGAATGATTGTTGTCAGTAGAATGTTCTTATTCCAGTTCGTGTGAAATGATCGGTTGGTTTTGCCGTGATGTTATTGGCTGTAAGACTCAAGTGACGTAAGTCGGTCGTGATTGGTCTGTTTCGATATGTCGGTAAAGTTAGGTCGTTCTTTTTCGGTCGTTTGTGATGTTTATGTCGTGAATGAGTCGTTTGTATGGGGCGGGTAGTTGTTGACATCTGTTTAGGGGAGTCTGTTCTAAGTTAGTAAACCAGCTTTCCAGAGTCAGTCGTTGAAAATAGTCAGTGCTGTAGGTTAGGCATTGCGCAGAGTCCCAGTCAATGTTGTGGTTGGTGTCGATGGTGTTCAGCAATGTGATTGCTGATATCACCTTTCCTCGTCGCCCGTCTGTGTTCAGTCAGTCTTGTTGTGAGGTTTCTTCCAGTCTCACCGATGTAGGAGGCTTGGCAGTCGGAACAATTGATCTTATAAATCGTTCCCAGTCTGTTCCTCGGTTCGTCTTTGTCTTTAACGTTGGTTAGTAACTGACGTAGTGTGGTGATGGGTTTGTGGGCGACGCGGATATTGAAGGGTAGTATGATGCGCGAGATGTTTTCAGACATGCCTTTTATGTACGGTATGGTTGCTGTAGTCGTAGGGGTTGCGGTGTCGTTTGTTTCGGTAGTGGTAGTGGGTCGGTGATCATTTCCCACGAACTGGAATAAGAACATTCTACTGACAACAATTATTCACTTGACTCTGATGATGACTTCCGTACAGGTTGTCGAAACGTCAGTCACTACCACCGACAACAGTCCTTCTCAGGACTACACTCACCCGGACGATCAGACTACACCTTCACATGTTACCCCCGGGTTCAAACCATTTACTGCAAGTAATGACTTCTCGCATATTCTACTTGACTCGTTATTTATGTTTTTGTCTTGCATAGCAAACATAAGTGGTGGAGTATTTAAATATAAGAAGCTGTTTTGGAGCACGAAAAATTGATGCTGTTTTGTTGCCAGAACAAAATTGATATTACGGTAGGGTGGAGTTAGAATACTCGGATTCTCGTACTTTTTCGGTGATAGAAATAGCGCGCCAGGATTTTCTGGGATTTTGAAATTACGGATTCTGCCGAAACGTGGTGTCGTCATGGCAGCGACCTCCTAGTCGTTAGTTATCGAACTCTTGTTGATATAACAATTGTGGTACATGTACCAAACAAAGGACAAAGGAATATGCCTTAGGATATGGCTTGTAAAAGACAACGCCTCTTTATATTTTCTTCGATTACCAATGTATATTTGATAACAGGCAGCTATAAGCAGCTTCTTTAAAGTAACTTTTTTTTAACAATGAAGGGAATTCGGAACAATTTTTAGTTTTGAAAGATATATTTTTTCTTATTATTTCGCAGAAAGCTTTAGCTCGGTTGAGAACGAGGTTCGATGAGTTTCTTGTTTTAATTGGAAACACCTCAGGTAAATATTACGAGGAAGTTTTATTGGAATTATTGCGGCTATGGTTACTTGCTCTTGTTGAGCGTTTTAGCTGCGGTACGCGTGTTTTCGTTCCAGGAGATTACATTACTATTACAACCATATCACAAGACTGTAATATGGCACGAAAAAAATAATACGAGAAAAAAATGCAAAAACAAACAAAAAGGAGAAGTACTGGTAAAAAGATTAAAGAAAACGTTAAAGAAAGAAGAAAAGAACCATTAGTGCGGCTGCCGTTTCATTTTGGTCGTAATTAGATCTATAATGTAAATATCTAGTGGAATTAAAGGGCTGTCAATCCGAGCACCAGGAGGATTAAAGTTACCAAGCCATTTAAAAGGTGTCTGCCTTACTTGTGTGAGAGGGATTAATACCAAGTGTTTATTAGCCTTCTGTCAGTATTTGACATGTGTATGCTTCCTTTTCCTTTGTAAGCTTTCCATGCAATAAATAGTCCTTACTTACATAGAATCGATATATTTTTTCCTAAAGAAACTATGGTGTTGCGTCGACGGGGTTATTGCAAGATAATCTATTTTATCAACGGAGTCGATAGCGGAAATTTTCCACAGTAAAGAGTTTCTACAGCTGACATGCCGTGCGCTTGCCATTTTCGCTTTGATGGAAGGCCGACGAACGCCTCCCAGTTAGCTTAATGGATAGAGCGCTAGACTGTTGTGCGGGAGGTTGAGGATTCGAGCATCGGCCGGACCAAAACTCAAGGTCTTAAAATAATTGAGAAGAATATGCTACCTTTCTATAACATCAAGAAATAATTGGATATTCTAGTCTTCTCGGATAGGAAGGAATAAATGGAGGTCCCGTCTCCTGCAGGAGGGGTAGGAGACGTTAATTTACCACGCACGAGATTACTGTGTAATGGATGTCCTCCCTCGGGGTGAGATGGGTGGGTTGGGTTTTGGTGGGTTGGGTTTAGGTGAACCTAGTAGGGAAGTACGTGTCCTATTGTTCTCCCAGCTGTACAATATACAAGTCTTTAGAAACAAGAAATAAGAAACAACGGCTTAGAACTCTTCACGATGCCGCCAGTTTGCACTATCAACTTTGTCGTCAAAAGCAAGTTATCTCGTTATAACTGATAACCTGAAAGGTGTCCTGTAGATGTCGAAGTGAGCTGTTAACCTGTCGATGAAACAACACAAATGGCTTTTTGCATTGATTTTTCTTTTGCTTACCATCTTCATTAAGCAGCAACTTTTTCCTGTACCAAGTATGGTCGTTAAAGAAAGAGTAGACTGGACTCATCTCCGAGTCTGACCCTCTGATCTTGCAAGTCATGAATAAGGGTCTAATAATATTACCTCGGGATGGAAAATATCCGCAATAGAGCATCGAGTGATTGGAACTATAAACCATTTTACTGCTTAACAAATTTTACCCATTAAAATCAAACCACGTTTTTGATTCTATATAAGTAATTAAGCTCGAATACCAGTGACCTTTAAACGGTCAAATATTCCGACTAACGTTTCCCTGATCATTCTCAAGCCCAGGGTCGTTTTGGCTCCTTGTCAGCCGTAATGCCGCTAAACGACGACGACGACGACAATACCGCTGACAAGGAGCCAAATTGATCCTGGGCTCGAAATTGGTCCCTGTAAGATCTCTCGATCCACACTTTTTGTGCAAAGGGATATGAGCTAAAGCTGAAATTAACAATACATTTCTGCCCAGTGCAGAGAAAATGATGACAGATTTATCCCTTAAAACCGCTAAAAATTTCTAAAACCCATCTATCTAGCTAGAAATGTTGTCAGTCATCTTGCTCACTGCAAATGAAACACCATAAAAAACTCAGGGCACCCGCCGAAAAATAAAAGATCAAGAGCAGTACATTGAACTGTCATACTAAGCAGTTAGAAAACCTTACTGAATTGTTTCCGATCAACCTTGGAACCATAACCGGCCAAGGCTTTCAATAAAGTGCACCTTTCGTTGAATTTGGCCTCCTTTTCCTTACACCAGTTATTTGTTTAAATCCCATCACCATTGCTCAACCAAAACTTTCCTGACTATTCCGAACTTATTGGAAATAAAAAAGTGAAATAACATCAATTCTTCGAAAAAGCTGTCAACATGGAATACATTCATTACTCGATGGGGTATGTGGCTATGACCTAAAAATATCCCTCCCCCCCCCCACCACCGCGAATTTCGTGGCAGGTGCAATTTATCAGGCATATGTTATGCTACATTATTCCAATACAGCCAACTCTTTCCTAAGACTTCTAGCACCCTTTTTTCCTCATTACTCTATCTGCTGAATCAGAAATTCCTAAAAGTTTTAGACAATTTTCAGGTTGAGCTCTAATGTAAAAAAAGTTCTGGAACAAGGAATACACTATCTGTTCAACGAAGGTCGCTGGGCATCAAAGCGTCGAAGCAAGAACTCCTTATCAGGTTCAATTCACTGATGACGTTTTCCATTTCAATGTTTTCTCTGTTTTTCCAGCACATCATCATCAAATTCCAGCATGCATCATTCACTCGGGGCAGCCTTCTCGGTAGGACTCCTTTCTCAACCGCTTCCTGCATTTCCGCAGTAGTTTCCATGTTTTGGTAGACTTCGGGTCTTGCTGTCCCACTTCCCTCGAAAAGCACCCATAATAACATTCCAAATGCGTACATGTCGTATGAATGGTAACTGAGGTGGCTGTCTCGGTGGTAATGGTACATTTCTGGTGAGATATGGAACGGTGGGCCCAGAGTTGTTATGTTGTAAGGACTTTCAGGTTTCGCGAGGTTGATCTTGGCTTTTCCATCTCTCATTAGCTAAAAGAAAGTAACTGTTGTAAGATTTATTTTTACAACAGCAGCTTTAGCATTCCGGAATTGGATCGAGCGTCATAAGGTAAGCACTCTCTGTTACTGTGAGCGAATACCTTTATGTTGACTATTGGAAGATTATTCAATATGCAACATTCAAATTATCAGTGACCATTTCAATACTTAAAGATTATTTTATGCTGTCTTGATTAACTAAGGTAAGTTCTCACTGCAGTTAAACTATTTCTTAAAGAGAGCGCATTTCCTTTAATATTCCCAGACGGGAATAGAATAGAATAGAAAAGAAAATATGGCATTTTCTCGCATTCAGGAGCGGCTCGGACTGTTAATTTTCATTTTTCTTGTATATTACCGAAACGAAACACGACTCTAAAAAACCGGAGAAAGCGACCTATTCGATAGGATATCATTTTCCAAATTTTGTCTGAGGCTGATATGACCTACAGGTTGTTGTGATCATCGAAATTTTTCTTAATTACGTCTTCAGGTCAGTTTAGACAATTATTAAAACCAAATCCTAGATTTAGAACAAAGATGCACCTTACCAGAATATTTCCAGGCTTAAGATCCTCGTAGACAAAACCAATACCATGAATGGCCTTCAACCCTTCAGCCACGTCCATGGCTATGTTGATCCTTATGATCAGTGGCAATCCCTGCTGTAGAGCGCGCAGCAGATTCCTTTCTGCTTTCTCCATGACGACGTATATGGTGTCAGGAACGGGGAGGATCCATCCATACAAGCGTAACAGGTATTGGTGAGAGTCACTGAGCCTCTGAATTATGTCCCTAAAATTCAATAAAACTCATGTTTGCTACTTGGCAAATCGTCAGTGGTTTAGCGTGGTTAGTACTCTCAACGATATTCGTCAGCACAGAGGTCAAAATGTTGTGGACTTAAGAGGCTTAGCCCAAAGGGGTGGGAACTTGAAAGAACTTATCTTTATAAAAGTTTAAACGCCCGGGGGGTTGTCCGGGGGAAATGTTGAAGTTTAGAATTGATCGATGCATATGGTAAAATATTTTTATTACTTACGTCATGTTAACTAAATCCACAGCATTCTGGCTCCACTCGGCTTCGCTCAAATTTCGCTTTTCAATGACTTTTACCACACACTGTCTAGTGGGTGAGGCACTACACCAGCTTTCACTTGTGCAGTCATAGATAGCTCCATGTCTTGTTTTGGCCACAAGAGAACCAAACTCAACTGGTCCAAACGCCTGAAAATATTGTAGGGCCATTCCTTCCACGGTCAATTTTCGAATATGTGGGGTAAATTGGACCCGGAGAGATTCCAGCTGCAACGACACGAAGCTGTTGGCAAAAGCCTGTTGCAAAGAAGTGAAAGAAGAAAGAGCAACTTGAAACTTCTCATGCATTTCTAACAGACGGCCTCTACATGTCGCTAGAACTGAATCCACGACAGCGTTAAAGTCAATCATAGCCAACAGAGTCTCACAAATGGACAGCCTGGTAGACTTCTTGGAAATATCTAAGTCATGGTGACTCGCCATGTCTTGTGGGGAAAGAACTCGAGAGAGAGGCTCCGAGAATCCAGTTCTGAGAGCAACAAGGAAAACTTCGTACGTGGAGTCAAGAAGCCCATTCATAACAACTTGAAGTAGTTGGTCTGTTTCATCTTTTATGGCCAGGAATTGAAAGTCGTAGATGTCCTCTAGTATGCGTGAGACTATTGGATCTTGAACGACTGAATGGAAGTCATCGATAGCACGTGTAAGATCGTGGACGTAATCCTTCATTAGGCTGTTGACAGCTGTCTCCAGAGTTTGACATGAAATTTCCAAGATGCTTCGTTTCATGTCAGTAACGAATGTTGCTAACGCAATGTCAAGGCCGGATTCCAGCAGTGTCTCAGAGAAAGCCGGTAGCTCAGTTCTAACCATGGTTTGAAACTTCATCTGGAGACTTTCCTGTTTTTCGGTTTCGTAGTCTTCAGCTTCGCGCAAAACATGCGTCCTAAGGAAATCTAAATTTGCTACAAGCGTGTTCTCGGCTTCCTTCGACTTAAATGAAATTGCTTTTGATAACGTTTGGATCATTCTATCCAACACCTCGGCAGCTTTTGAATTTACCAAAGGCACAACCGATGCTTTATGGGTGATCGAGTCCCTTTTCACCTTAATAGTGCTCGCAAAGCTTTCTTGAAGAAGTACAAGTTTTCTCACGACCCTAACAGTTTGAGTTTTAACAATCTCACAAACTTGGTTCCATAGACTAGATTCAAAATGACGAAATTTTCTGGTTGCTTCTCCCTCTCGTTTACTTAGGCGTTCTTCGCGAACTTCCTTCGCTGAAATAGCATGGAACATGGGGCACGTCTCCCACGAATCTCCACGGAGATACTTGTCTTTCAGTTGGTCAAAAACGGCCTTCCCTTTTTCGTTTGCAATTCTTGACTCATTTAAATGATGTTTAAAGCTACTACCCTGCTCTCCATCGTCATCATCATCTTCATCGTCATGATCACCATTATCATTATCGTCATCGTCATCGTCGTCGTCGTCGTCGTCGTTGTCCTCGTCATTATCATCATCCCTGAGTGTTTGCAAGCGACGTCTTGACCGCCGATCATATTTATTAGCTTTTGTGGTGATGTCCACTTTGTTGCAAACAAAGATGATTTGAGTTTGAGGAAATTTATCCTTTAAAAATTGCAGCGTTTCTCTATCCTGAAAGCAGGAAATAAATTGCAAAGTGAAATGTTACCTTGAAGAGAAATTCAGATTTTTTGGCAAAGGCTTATGTGAACAACTTAAAATGACAATTTGAGAATGGTAATAAGTAAATTTTTTGGGGGGTATCACATGGTTTTTAGGGAAACGGAGGGGATCAGTGGATCAGTCGTCGCCAACAAGGTACAAATGGAAGACCATATAAAATGGACTGCCAATTAACTGTCACTGGTACAAAGTAGTTGTTTTGGATGTCCTTCGGTCTAGCTCAATCAGGACCTATTTCTTTAAGAACTGAGTAAGCTGGACCATCATTTGAAAACCTCCTTGTAAACTTTTAAACTTTGATTTCAATCTCAGTGCTGTTAAATACATTACCCTATACGCCTTTATCATAAATGGCGGACGCGCGGTTAGGACCTGAGCTGAGTTCACCAAAACGAGGCTTAGGAAGCATCGTTCGATCTATTGATACTGTAAGTCTTGTTCGAAGATTTTTGGAATTATTGACTGTTTACACTGTAGTTTAATTGACGATCAGTGGATGTAACGTAGTTTGACCTTGGCGAATGTTCTGTTATAAAACTGGCGGCGAGTTTTGCAGCTAATTTGAGTCAAGACGATATTCCTGGAGTGTCTTTAGAGGGAAGAAACCCAGCAGAGCTCAACAACTATGCCTTGAGGTTTTGGCTAAAATGTAGGGGAGATAAATGCAAAGGGCTGAAAACAAAAGCTCAGCTACTAAAACGGTAGGTTTACATGTAACGATCGATAGCCAAATATAAGCGGTAATCTAAACGTCTTATGTTGAGCGAGTCAAATATAGTATGGTTTCGATATCTGAATAAAATACACTCTAATTCGAAAATTTTTCTCCAGGGTTGATGAATATATCAAATCGTGGTTAGAAGACGCGATAGTCGATCCTGATCCAGACTTAACTTATACGAAGAGGAAAATTGCAAGGGAGCAAGCAAGCAGCGGCCATGAGACCGTAGCAAGTACTTCTCAGTATAAATGCTAGATCAAGTACCCGACGAGTGGATGGGGGAGCTCACTACAGAAAATGCCCTTTTTCTCCCTTGCCGAGATGGGTAAATTTGTTGCACTAACTGGAAAGAGTTTGGGCTGTGCCGGTAAGAAATCTGTTCCAACCAGGCTCAAAAAAGCTACAACATTTCTAAAGGATGAAGATCTTAAGAACATTGAAAGCTACAGTGACCCGCAAAGACACTTTTTCATGCGTTGCAAATGTTATCACTCCTTTCGAAAGAACGATCCCCCTCATAATGTATTTTTAGCATTATACATTGTCTGAGGCGAAGTGCAAGATTCCAAATGTTCGTGTGTTGCTGGTTCCTTGGGCTACTGCAACCATTCTTTAGCCTTAATGCTGAAGGCTTGTAAATTTAGTCTATATGGGTCCCAAAATACTAAAGACCTAGAAAATGAAGCTGATCAGATCCCAGAGCAAGCATGCACCTCAAAACTTCAAACTTGGCATCAAAGAAGTCGTGGTGAAACCATCTACCCTCAGCCTGTTATGGATGTGGTTGTCTCAAAACCCAAACTGGAGGATACAAAACATGGAAATTAAGGGATTCAGTCTCCTTTACGAGGCAAGAAATAATGCAATGTACAACAGTGCAGAGGAGCAAAAATTCAAGCAGGCAATCAGAGATATAAACCCTCAAATGGGTCTTGCTCAACTTGTTGATCTTGGGAGTGAAAGACATCTGAAAGAAACAAGATTCGGGCATAGTCCAGTGGGCTCTTACGTAAGCTACCAGCTAGCCCACACAGAATCCAACTTTAATGTTTGTGTTGATATTTCCTCTGTGCCTCAAGGGAGGAAAAATAACCAGTCTTTAACCTATCCCAGGTGTCCCTTAAGAGATTGTGGACTGCCTACAGTTCAAAACAATGAGCTAACAGATGTAGAGAAGAACCTGTATGAATCATTATGCATTCAGTGATGAGGAGACTGTCAATGGCATCGAGAGGGAGACTAAAGATCAGTCACATTCTGAAAGGTGGAAGCTTCAGCGAAAGTACCGTTTTACAGCATCTCAATTTCATCTGATATCCCACAGACAATGCAGTCATGATAAATTTGCTCAAGAAATCATGTGCCCAAAGACATTCCACTCTAGACACACAGCTCATGGGATGAAATATGAGCCAGTAGCAATTGACAGGTATCACAAATACATGCACAGTCAAAAAACACCAGTACATGTTTTCAAAAGTGAATTTGTTGTATGCACTAATGTCAATTGAAAGAATTGCCTTTGAAAGAGGTTACTGGGTTGAGCTTCAGGAGAAGCTTTGGCAATATTATTTCACAAATTTCATTAAGTATGCTGTAGCTGAATTTGCACCAACATGTACAGAAGCTGTGGTGGTTTGACATTCTACAACAGCATCATAATCAAACATTTAATGCATAAAATCTCAGAATGATTTGAGAAATATCCTAAGGGGTAAATCTAATAGATTTGAAGCTCACAAAGACTGTGTAAATTTGTACGTCTTTATCAAAATCACAAACCACTCATTAGTTTTCACTTTTACACGGCTGGTTAAAAGGCATACTGGAGTCGGTCATTACTCCTTTGATCCTTTAAAAAGAGGTGAGCTGTCTAATTTTTCACTACTCATAAGGGCTGGGTTATCTTTTCCCATTTAGAGGGGGAGGTCATCTAATTTCTGACCTCTATTTTGGGGTCAGTTAGTTTTTTTTATTCCAAAGGTAAGGGGTTAGGTCATGTGCTCAGGTCCTCCCCCTGTAATTGTTGGCCTCTCCTCTACAGGTATCATAATCATTTTAGTGATGTGTATTTCACTGAAAGAAAATAAAAAGCTCCAAGACCTAGAGAGCAAATATTACTACAACACACCCTTTTTTAGCCAAAACATTAAACATTATAAAAATTACAAATCAGTTGTCTAAAGCTTTCTATTGTGTCAGCTTGTTAAAATAGGGTCTTGAATGTTGCAAAGAAATGCACAAACAGACCACATTTGATTTGCAATGCCAAAGAGATTCAGTGGGACAACGCTATCCCATATGTGAAAATTTTTAATTTCATAATTGCACTTTCAACATGGATCCTCAGTTGTGCAATCTCCTGAGTTCTCAACAACATCCTCCGCGGGCATCTGTGTGGATGTTCCCAAGAATGGTGGAATATTCAAAGACACACTTAAAGGTAAGATGTCACTTATAGTAAAACCTTTATCTGCCATGACAGAATCTCCTTTATTGAATGGCAGGTCAAGCATGCCTGACCTTTCTACAATTTCTCTGTCTGATATACATCCTGTATACAGTTGGCTTATGAAAGTGATAGCACCAGATGGAGAAATTTCCACAAGCCCCTTTAGTGTAGTATGATTCTTGTAGGCACTGAACAACTCACTATTCAGCAACAAGCTACTAGACATTGCACACTTCACTTTCGTACAATCAATACTAACTCTTGTACTTGGATATGACTTCCTGAAGTCTTCAGGCATTGTTCTGTTGACAGCTTCTCTTGATGGCCAAATGTTAAGCACTCCAAATCGATGATACATAAAATTGATCCAACTAATAACAATTCTACTTACAGTTGCCTGAGAAACATCAAACAGGTGGGAAAGGTGGGTTTCTGCCAATCCCTGTCTCAAACGACACAAAGTGAGAAAAAATTCTTCTTGTGGTTTGAGCAATCTTGGTCTACCCCTCTTTACACCTAACTGCAGTGGAGACACATAGTGTTCTGAGGGTATCTCATTTTCGCCTAACAACCCGTATCTGACATTTTCTCCATTATCTCCCGGATCTAAATACTCAAAGTATGCCAAGAATGCTTTGTAGCTAGGAAAGCCTGTATAAAACAACATTGCCTCATCAGAGGTAAATCGACTAAGTGAGAAGACATTTGACTGAAGTGCTTGATTTTTGTCTTTCAAATCTGAAACTGTCTTTTCGAGGTTTGCGCATTTTTTTTCAAGTAGCCTTAATTGTATAAGGGTCCCATTTAGATCTTTTTCAGTGGAAGGCATTTCATTAAGACTGGTACTGGCGGCTCCTGACATAGTGGTTTCATTAGTACCTGTTTCAGGAATAACGTTTGCTGCTTCAGGTGTTTTGCCAGGCTCCGAACACACTGAAAAAGACTCTTTTTCTGGGACAGATCTCTTCTCTTTTCGTTGTCGTAGATATGGCCTCTCGGTAGGGGGGCGGTCGCTTTCGTGGTGAAGTTTGTTTCCAAGCAAATATCGACGGAACTGCATTTTTCTTCAGAGACATTCGTCCACCAAGACCCTTTGATATGTCACTAAGCTTGAAATGTAACGAACACACTTTTGATGCCTCGGAGATGCGAAAAAATCTACCAACATCTCTACGTATGGCATGTATCCAACGTTTCTTCATTTCCTCTTCGTCTGGAAACTTGAAGAATCCAATTTGTTCTCCTTTCGGTCCCACACGCCCTCTTTGTGTGCACAATGGTACGCTACAGTGAATATTTAATTTCAACGCCATGTTTCTTGCGATGCCTCCTAAGCCTTGGTTTGGTGAACTCGGCTCAGGTCTTAACCGCGCGTCCGCCATTTATGAATAAGGCGTGTAATATTTTAATTATTTACAGTCTACTAACCACATGCATCACATGATGAACTGTTCAGGGTTCTTCCGGTTTAACTGATTTGTAATTTTTACTTCGCGAAATGACTCCAGATTTTCGTTTATAAAATCATCAAAAAATTACGTTCCATTTGCTTGTGTTTTACGGGACTCTTTGGCAGGGTTGCTATCACCAAACTCGAGTAACAGATTAAAAGTTTGCTCGCTCTTTGTTGCCAGACCTCAAATCATACGATGTAAATAACAAAGCTTCTAATCATATTAAAGGCATAACGGACATTGGAGTAAAACAAAAGATATGCGTATGTCTTATCCATGGACTAGAAGAAAGATTAAATGCCTTTACTTACCGAGTTTGTGAGTCGTTTATCTCCGTTGATAACATATACAAAGAACGGTACGGTGCCTTTTTGAAGGAAGCTGTCTAGGACATTGTCCAATTCCTCTGATTCACTCTTCCCAGGCGAGTCGATAAGTTCAATTCCACTTTGTAGAAGCTCGTGGTCCAATCCGACCTCAACTGTAGCTCCCAAGACAGCTTCATTTTGCCTGTCCTGATCGGAAACTACTATGTATTCTTTTGGTGGTTTCTTGTCGGTAAAGAACTCCTTCTTGACCTCTCCTCCATCTGATCCGACGAGTTTAGCGTATTGCTTTGTCGTATGTTTGATTCGAACGATTCTTGCTGTGCATGGAGTCTCGTCAACCGGTAAAGCAGATTTCTTGAGAATTTCGTTTATCACTGAGCTTTTTCCGCAATTCTTTTCGCCGATGAAGAACACCGAAGGGCTTTTCCGGAGCTCGTTTCTTACTTCCTCTTGATGTGGCGAGAGAAACCCGAGCGCATTGTTATTCACTGGAACAATTCCTTCAATTTCCCTAAAAAAATTGACTGTTCGGTCGAATAAGTCAGAACTACATTCACGGTAGCGTCTGAATTCATCGATGGCACTTTGCAAATCGGAGTAACAGCTAGAGTCTACCATTGTTTTCGTAAAAGAAGTAAATTCATGTTTTCCGGCGGTGGCAGCCATTCAAGGTAGTGCCGAAGGTTCCCAAGTTTCCGAGAAATCAAGTGGTACGGATTGGTAATTGTACTGGACTTCTACAAAAAGAATAAGCGGAATGTATTCGTCAAGTGAACGCAAGTCCAAAAAAATTTATTACCTGCCACTACGTTCTCAGCTATTTTCCAAGGTCGACGACAAAGAAGAGGGATCATGGGATGAAAAATTCAGGAGGCAGCTTAATTCGAAAAATACGGAGAGTATTAATTCTTGAAACTTCGCTCGTACCGGATGCACTGCCTCTCTATTCCATACAGCGAACGCCGGTTAGGTTCTCTACTTCTTCCTTGATGGTCTTGCTGCTAAAAGCTTTCCGGGGCTGAAGAGGACCATTTTATTCATTTTCTGTCCCGTGTGATGACAGTCACAAGCAACAAACTTTGGAATTTATGTTATTCCTTCAGTAGTCTGCCGAAGTGCTAGGCTAGAGAGGGTATGCGGAGAGGAGGGAATCAAGGACACGAGTGCAGCCGGGCGCTCCCTTTTGGGAGAGAGTAGGGGAGGGGAGGGATGTCAAAACCCTGTTTTCTCAAATGCTACCGTAAAAGGGATCTCTGTTATCGTTGTTCTTGAGTTTCGACACCCACTTAAGACTTCGTAGTTGTCCCTTCATCCCACACTTGCCACATGAGATACCATCTTCTATTCTAGCAGCTTCTGTTTATTATTAAAATTAAATCAAATTCAAAGTTTTAGCAAATGTCGTTCTTAAAAAAAGGACGAGGCTGTAAGGCCGGAAAGCCGTGACACACAATAAGTCCATCTCCTCTCTCACAGAAACTAACTCACTATTGTTTGATAATAGCATTTAATACTTGTTTTTCCTCGCATTTTCTTGGCTCTTTTTATATTTGAAGCCGGAAAAAAGCTATATTGAAGATTCATTTTCCAATTTATACTTATTTAATAGCGCACACTAATAACACAGCACTTGATAGACTAAACTGTTTACGATTAACGTACAACGAGTGTTGTTTATTCTCGTCACGCAACGCCCTCTCTTTACTGCGTGACGGCACTAACAATAACTGCAAAGGGCACTGAGGAAAAAATTGGTTTATCTAGGTTTCCATGGAAACAATTCTTTCTTAACCTAATCTTTTAGCGGACTTACGTCATGGCCCAAATAGGGCCCAGGTGCTAAAGAAAAAATGAAGCAACATGACCTTGGAGTTAATGGAAACTAGTTGCTATTTCCCATATGGCTTTTAAATCAGTAATAATAGAATCCATTTTCATGGATGCTCTGTCCTTCCAGCACTTTGTCATTAAGCTCCAACATGCATCACTCACTAACGGAATCTGGAATTCTTTATCATCCTCACATGGTAGAGTTCCATTTTCCACTGCTGCTTGCATGGCTTGGATAGTTTCAAGGTCTTTGTATACTTTCGGTCTTGATGTTCCTCTTCCCTCCAGAAGCACCCATAAAAGCATTCCAAATGCATAGATGTCGTAGGAGAGGTAACTGAGGTGACCCTTGCCATGGTACTGGTACATTTCTGGTGAGACGTGGAATGGAGCGCCCAGAGTAGTCATGTCGTAAGGACTTTCAGGCTTAGCCAGGTTTATCTTAGCTGTTCCATCAGACATTACCTAGGCGAAATGAGAGAGTTTTTCACATCAAGATTTTAACTACATAGACCACTTTCATAAATGACTGCCGCATTAATATTCTTTTGTTTAAATTTAAATTAGCCCTTCTGGCCTCGTTCTCCAGTACAAAATTCAAAAGAATACATTATCTCAAGCGAGGCCAGAAGGGCTAATGTAAATTTAAACAAAAGAATAGTAATCCGACAGCCATTTATGAAAGTGGTCTATAGTTTAATTGTATAGTTTAATAATCAGCCTTTCTAGTTTAATTGACCACTCCCCACAGGGCTTTTCAGGGCCAACACCCACCCATTCCACCCCAGGGGAGGACATCCACCACACAGTAATCTCGCGCGTGGGAAATTAACGTCTCCTACCCCTAACCCTGCAGGAGACGAGACCTACGGTTTATTCGTCCTCATCCCAGAAAACTAGAATATCTATCCATTTCTTGTTATAGAAAGGTAGTAAATTATCCTCAGTTATTTTAAGACCATGAGTATTGGTCCGACCGGGGCTCAAACAATTGAAAATCAGACGTTCTGATTGACATTATGATAGGATTGACATTATGATAGATTAACATCAAGTATAGGTCATAAAAAAGCAGAAAAAGTCTTTAACATAAAGTTAAAATCAGCCAAGGCACACCTTTATAATGCACAAGCAAACAAACAAACAAACAAACAAATGATCGTTTGGGTAAAGGAATTCCTCAAAAGGACTTCAACTGATAACAGTGACTGAAGAAGTAGAAACCTCGGAAAGTCGTCATCAGAGCAAAGTAAGGAGTTGTGAGCGAGTCGAGTGGTATAAGTCTGGTTTGTGATGAACAGTGCCATTCTTGTCAAATCTTCTCATTCTTGTAATAAATTATAGCAGAAGCACTCAAGAAAACTTGGAAAATATGAGTCATGCCATCACGGTGCTTAATAACTGAGAGGGGAAATTGCGAGCTTCTTTAGATATCTTAGAAAACATGGATCATCAAATTATACAAACATACCAAGATATTTCCTGGCTTAATGTCCTCGTGAATGTAGCCGATGGCGTGAATGGCCTTCAGCCCTTCAGCCACGTCTCGGGCCATGTTGATCCTCCTGATTAGCTTAGTGAGCGATGACTGGGCATAGGCCGAGGCGAGCTCTTTGAGAGCACAAAGAAGACTCTTCTCTGCCTTCTCCATGACAACATGTAGCACATCCGGCTCAGGGAAAACCCAGCCGTACAGTCGCAACAGATTAGGATGTGAACCGTTAAGTTTATGAATCATATCCCTAAAACAAAAAAATGCCAAGGTAGCGTAAGTCTGCTATCGTGCCAAGCGGCTCATCCAACAGAAACTTACCCCAATTTTTGCAGTATGTGAGGACAATGAGCACTGTTATCCCACCTGAAATGGGATACCAGTCCATCGCATTTTCCAAAGTTGACTTTTAAACGTTAATAATTACACTGAAGAAACGGTAACCGAATTGTTACTTACATCATATTGACGAGATCCACGGCATTTTGCTTCCAGACACTTTCACCAACTGTCTTCCTCTCGATTTCTTTCACCACGCACTGACCTCTGGGGGAGCACCGGCACCAAGTTACGCTTGCGCAATCAAAGAGTTGACCGTGGCGTGTTTGCGCTATGGGTGAGCCGCATTTTACTGGTCCGTAGTTCTGCACATATTTTAAAGCCATCCCTTCTACGGCCAACATGCGTATCTCGGGAGTAAAACGAAGACGAAGATCTTCAAGCTGCACTGTAGCTTGGCTATTGGAAAAGGCCGTTTGCAAGTGCTGGAGAAAATCCATGCTTGATAGGAACCGATTTCGCATCCTCTGCAAGCAATCGAAGCAAGCGTCAAAAACTGCCTCTGCAACCCTCTTGTCGTCGATTGTTGCGAGAAGAGATTCCACGACTGACTGTCGACGTGTTTTATCAGTAACATCCCTTTTTGAATAAGTTCTCACCTCTTTGGAACTAAGGGGTACCGAAATCTCTCTCCTCAATGCAACTCTGGCAGCCTCCTTTATGGAATCCAAAAGATTGTTCAGAATATCTTCAATTAGTTCGCGAGTTTCAGTTTTGGCTTTAACAAATTGCCCACCATAGCTTTCCTCCAAAATCTTAGAGACCATGGGGTGTGTGAGGTTGTCGTTTAAGCCAATTATATCCTCAATAAGATCACTCACTACCTCCTCCATCAAGGATTGCACAAATCTGACGAGAGAATTGCACAATTTTTCCAAAATGTTGGCTTTCATATCACCGAGAAAGCGCTCCAAAATAAAGTCCTCCTTGTTCATTCTTGATAACTGCTCGGGCGAAAATGCAACTTTAAGATCAGTCTTGATCATAGTCTGAGCTCGTTCTCGTATAGTACGCTGGTTTGGAACTTTGTATGTTACTGCATCCTGGGAAAATGTTTCCTTCAACTCCTTTAAGTGCTCCTGTATCCTCTGCTTTGTACCCTCGGAATCACTGGATGTAAAGGACTTTAAAGAGTCGAACATTTTACTTTCTATCTGACATGCCTGACGCGTAATTTCTGGTATTATAGATGCTTGCTGAGTGATTTGGGATCTTTGCACCTGGACAACATTCACAAAGCTTTCTTGTAAGACCAAGAGAGCTTGAACGACCCTCTTTGTCTGTCCTTTCATGATGTCTGCAAGAAGAGTTTGGAGTTTACCTTGGAATCGCTGGAATCTCCTTGTTGCTTCTCCTCCACTGACTTTATCCTTCCGTTCCGTACGAATATCTTTTGCAGAAATGGCGTGGAACAAGTCACATGTTTTGCTAGATTCACCTGTGAGAAAGTTGCTGTCTTTCAGCTGATCGAAAACAACTTCCTCTTTGTCTTTTTTGTCGTTAATTTCATCACTTTCGCTGCTCCCATCACTCTCGTTGTCCTCTTCTTCATCTTCATCGTCGTCGTCATCGTGAACTGGTCCTGTTACCTCAATGTCTACTTTATTACAGACAAACATGATGGAAGATTGAGGAGATTTATCCTTCAAAAAGGTTAATGTTGTGACATCCTTAAAAAAATAAGAATAAAAAAGAATGAATATCACCTCAGGATTACTTAATTACAATAATCTACTTTAATTTCATTCATTTATTAGTGTTAGTCTCAGGTTGCCTATAGATTCTGGAAAGCCATGTTTTTTAAGGAGTATAACTGAAATAAACTGAAACAAACAAAATCTTTTGACAAATCCATTGTTTCATGCGTTTTTATTGCAGGGAGTCTTTTGAATCAAATGTGCACACTTGGCAGATAAGGTTCTGGTAATGTGGGGCCTGGTACCAGTTTTGACAAAGTTCCATCTACAAGAGAAAATCACCTCACAAAATTGCCTACTTTTAGGAGTTCTTATTTCGTCATTGCTTTGGTGCTTTAGAATTATACTTGAATCAGGAGATTCCTCAATGTGTATAAAATGAAAAGAGAAACAAATTGGTCTGATTAAGGTATTTGGACTTTTTTCATGCATAGCATATGTATAAAGTGGAGCCAAAATTGTTGGTCAAGTGAATACTAATTTTTCCTTTTTTTGAAGGTATAATTTAGGGTTCTGGGCCATTATCAACTTTTATTACACGACTCGGGCAGTCAGAGGGCCAATAACGAAAATCAACCAATCAAAATGCTCTATTGCCAGTCAATATTCTCTCAGTATTGGACTGGGCACTATCCCAAATGGTCCTGAATGATACCACACTTGTGTCCCTTTGAACTTCAGTCGTACGATAAATCTCTTTTTAACCAAGCTTGCTCGAAACTGTACTGGAAGAATATCGGCCCTCGGTCTTTTTTGTATGGAACTCGCTGCGCTTGGTCCGTACTGTCAAGACCTCGGTCCGATATTCTCCCAGTATGGCCCTCATGCTTGGTTAATAAGATATATACATTTATTCCTGATTGCAGTTTTCATTGAGAGATCTACAACCATTTAGGAACCCTGATGTGCTTAAAACTAGCTGAAAGGAAGAAGAATTGGGGTGTAATTATTGCCTTACACAAAGTGGATTTTTTGTTTAAAAAAAGCCTAAACATTGTTTTTGAAAACAGCCCTTGGTTTATGTAGGAGGGTCTATCTCTTCTCTGTGACTTTTCATTAAGCTTATATTGAGGTATCTTCTAACATGAGTATGATTTGTCCATAGTATACATGTAGGTTGAAAAAAAATGGATCTTAGAAATTTAAGCAATTTCAAGATGCTTGAACCTTCTCCAAATGTGTACCAATGATTCAATAGCCCCTAAGAATTTAAAAGTGTAGCATACACTCAAGTATATTTTAAAGACCCCAAATGTTCCAACTCCCCAATACTTTTATACTAGAAGTCTGAGTATAAAACTTGTATGGCTTTTGGAATATCATATCAGGCCAATTTCTATAACAACTGAAGGTCCATGAACATCAGTGATCCATGTTTTCCCCCTCTAGAAGACTTTATTTGACTGGGTTAAGTCTGCTTATGAGCCGAGTGGCCCATGAGGTCTGCCCTCAACTCCAGTTTCCGTAGTATAAGGTGATTAGGAGTATTTCTACCCCCTCCCCCCCCAATGGGATACCAGTCCATCCCAGGGTTACCCCCTAGCATTAAATTCACCCCTACCCATTTAAACACCTGGGTTACGAGAGGCACTGTGGAAGTTAAATGTCTTGCATGAGAACACAACACAATATCCCCGGCCAGGGCTTGAACCCAGACCACTTGCTCCAAAGTCAGGCACACTATAACCATGGGGACACTGCACCTGACTTTATTTAAGACCTAGTGACACTTTAAACATGCAGATAGGCAAGAATGATTAAAGAGCTGACATTCCTCAATTGAAGCAAATTGAAAACAAATGCACAATCCCAAGGCTCTTCTTTCATAGCCTGCGAGCAGCCCCACTGATCCTTCGTCAAGTGGACGAAGGATCAGTAGGGCTGCACGCAGGCTATTCTTTCAAGGCAGCACTAAACTCTTCTTTGCCTATGTTCCTGATGTCCTATGATCCTTGAAAAGAATTGTTTACATCCATGGACTATGTAGGATCACCTTCTAAGTTAAACATCGTATACTCGGTCCATATCTGTCTAGAGTTCACTTGGTTATTTCATCAAATTTAAGAAGCCCAATATCAAGCAGCTGTGTTTAGGCATGAATGAATAATAGCTAATAATATTTTACAGAACATCACTGTTTGACTATCTACGATATGTCAAACTCTTCCTTTAGAGATAAAACCGTTTATAGAGTGGTGATGACTTCCTTAATTCTTATTACTTTTGAGTTTGATTCAGAAGTCATACTGTAAGGGGAAATTAGATGCTACTCATTAAAAGTAAAAGGGTAATAACTCAGCCATAAAAGTAAGATTATTCACATCACAATTAATACATCAATGAATTGGAATATATAAAAATCATATATGTGTACTGCGGTTTCATAAAACTTATGAAAATGATCCTCACAGTACTGAATATTGATATAGGCCTATAAAAACATTTTGGCCCAGAAGTGATTTGAAGCCATGACCTTTGCGATAAATATAATTAATACAGGTAATAATACAGGTAATTCGCTAGTTGTTCTTCATGAGTTTTTAATTTGGTATTTGGTGTATAGACTTCGAGTCAACAACCAGAGCTCTCTCTCTTTAACTCTCGAAAGTTATCAGGTTCTAATTCATTATTTTATTCTATTTTTATTCTAATATTTTTAACAGCATCCCTGCTAAAATAATTATTAAGGCCATTAGAAGAGGGGAAATGAAACTGCAATCTGAAGAAACTCTTGAGTGTTAAACAATGTCTCCTTGTCAGCACAGATGTGAGAAAGTAATACAATCAAATTGTGTCTCGATCTCGAGACCTTCCAAATACACTAAAACCAAAAGGAAATGGGTATAAGCTTATTGGGAATCATGCCACGTACATTACGATGCACGAAGATATCTTAGAACTGCCGCAACAGGTAGCACGAAAGCAACTCAAGGATGCAGTCTCTTTTTTCAGTTACAATCGAAATCACATGGTTATGTTTAAAAATTTTGTAAAAATTTAGGAATTAGTATGAAAA